TCCTTATATACAGTGCAATTGGCACTTTTAGGTGCTTATCTTACTCCATTGTATAAACATCTTGATATGAAATTTTCAGAGTTGTTGTAGGCACATCTGTACATTATCTATTTGGGCAACCTTTTTTACTTGTAATAGAATTTCCCTAACATTTCTTATTTCCTGTTTATTACTCTCATTGTTCTTTTGTACCATAATAAGAGAAGCATGCCTCAGTTTTATGAATACAAACTTGAAATTTATCAAAAAATCAGGATGGAATGATTAGCATTCTAAATCATTAGTTGCAGCTACATTCAAATCACAAAATAAATTTGTACAAGAGGTGCCAGTGGTAGCAAGAATACTTTTGGTGCAAGTTGAGTTGTTATTAATATTAAATTGCTATCAAAATGATTAAGATATTCGCATATTCGCTTAATGATGCGCAAATTGTTATTTCAGCTATTTAACCATAACTTTTTGATTTACTTATAAAAAAATAAGTTTTAAATTCTTCATGAGTTTAAAAATTAGTTTTTGCAACATCATTAAATGCTCTTTTTTGCAATTTACATCAATATTAGCATTAGCTCTCCAGTAATCACCATTAGTATTTTATAGACTATTACACAATGAATTTGTATTAACCAACACCAAAACAAAATCATCCAATCGTACTTTTTTATTGAGCGCAATCACTTAGCATTGTGTTATAAGATCAGTACAGTATATGTGGCTTGAGCATTTCCACAACAAGTATCACTGGTCCATGAAAATCTTTTTCTTTTCTGATTAACTGATTTTTAACAATCGATTAATTTAGTTCCAGTTAGGAGACTGCCATAACCTGAACTTGCACATTGGGAAGTTACATAATTTGCACCAATCGCTTCATAGGATTAATACATGAAATCTGGACCATGAGTAGCTTAGCAAATGATTGCTATTTCATCAAATATCCCTAGATACTAGCAGGATTGGTAATAGTTTTCTTGCATCCTAATATCCGCATAATTTTTGATACCAGCTGTTATTGCTGTGCTTGAAAAGACACTTTCAGGTGGATTATAACAAATAGCTCTACCTGAAAAATAGGATCATCATAGTAAATATTTTCAATTTAATATTATACCTAACTGTACAAGCTCTTGCATAACTTTGAGCAAATGGGTTATAAGAACAATATTCATCAACTGTGTCAGCAATAAATAAGTATTATTTTTCATCAGCATATGTTATTATAGAAGCAATTATATAGCCGGCACAGGCAACTAATGTATAACAAACTCCGTTATAGAATTTATAGTTCATTTATCAAGATCAACTTTACAACTTCCTTTTCCTACATTTAAATCTGCTTATGATTTCGGTTGGGTTAGGATTAATTACTGTTGCTGAAATGGCATCAACTTATGTTGTTGTATTAGAATTATATGGACATTATTTAACAATTCTGATGTATTTGGATTTCAAGGACGATCAATAAGCTGCTTAATCTTCATAAATTCTGGTAATTGAATAATAAGCATATCCCATTTTGTAAAAAAAAATTTGTTGATTGAAAATTAACATTTTTCATCATTTAATATTATTACTTTTTACATTACGCCATGTAAGTTTATTTGTAAAACCAGTTTTATTTGTGTATGAGGAACATTAATTTAAAAGAAATGTAAGCTGTTCCATTTTAATATTCACATAAGATATTTGTTAAGGAATTTACCCATAGATTACATGTTGTAGATGAACATGAATTTGTAAATTCTGTAATATATCTACATAAATAATCTGATTTTGTCGTAATTTAACAAAAATAATTCTACTTCTCAGAATCATTTTTATTCGTAAACTTATATCCATTACAAGAGGTTACAATTTGAATATCAGTTGCTTAACCACATATTTTATCCTTAAAAGCATCAGTAGCATTTATGTTCCAATATCTAGTATTTATTTTACTTAAATTTATAGCATCATTTTGGAGCACCTGTATAACTTGAAATTTATGCTGTTTTTCACTTCATGATATTCATTAACAAGCTTTTGTTTCAGCTTACATTAATATCATTTGTATATTTGGCTTTAAAGGCTTAGCATGTTTATTGTGCTTCCTTTAATTAAGTACTATGGACAAATTTTGTATAATTAGTAAAAAAACTGTAAAAGTAATGTAGTGCAAGCGTTATCGTCAGTTGCTATAAATTCATCGCATTTGGATTTTTTGCATGAACTTGATTCCCATTTACATGGTGTATCATTTATTTTAACACTTAAATTTAAACTACAATAATGATCCACAACTAGTATTGGAGCCATCAACAAATATCTGTTCCATCAAAAATAGCTTATTTCACATTATCTTACAAGTGTTGATGATACATATCCTATTCCATTTTATACATAAACCTTTGTATTATTCACATTATACTTATGATATTAATGATTTCAGAGTTTACATCCAGTTTTTTCATCCAATACATTATTCATCAGTTGTTGCTGACTTTCCACTAAAATCTAGCTCTGCATTTATTACTTGTAACATCTCAAGCGCATTTACACTTGTAAAATATCCTATAAAACTTGTAGCAATCCCACTATAATTTGAACAGCTTGATCTTGTTGCAATACATCCTTTCCTCTTATTACACCTTCATCCTTGTAGGTAACGCAATCCTTAACAGTGTTAAGTTTAGTATCAGCACCTGTGCATAGATGAAATTTATAATTATCAAATTTATGATAAAATTACAATTATCATCTGATCCTCTCACCATTAGACATTTTTCTGAAGTTCATTAGTAATTACGACACTTTGGAATAATTTCAATACATCCAGCACCTGTTGACTTACAACCAGCTGATAAAATATTTAATGCTGCATGAGATTTTAGTGAAGAATCAGCCTCAATACGATAATAGTATCTACCTGATTCTCCATCAAGTTTAAAAGAAACTGCAGTGGTCTTGTAGTTTTGACACAAGATCCTGGGGTTATAGCTGCTTCCTCACTCCAAGTACATCTATATGATTAACAATCTGAAAATGATTTGAACTATGTGCATTCATCAAATTAATCTTTTTTTGTCACAGTCTTTTACTTATTTATAATATTTATAATTTCAAAATAAACACTATTATTGAGAATCTGCACTCTAGAATAAAATTTCTTACTTTTTTCCATTCATTTCCTCTGAGAACTGCCAAAAATCATATTTTATTGATATTACCTATTAAATTTTGATTTAAAATGTCATTATTTCAAATTTAATAAAGCGGCTAATACCAATTTAATCTTGATTTAGGGGATTATATTTTCTTTTTCAATTCATAAAGTGAATTGCTCAATCAAAAATCTATAGATTTCTTATGATTATTTTAATCTCAAATTGAGCCTTTTCTCAACTTTTTTAGACTGATAATTCTATTTTTTTATTAACTAATATCATTCTCA